ACTATAACATCAAGTTTTGGGTTGTTGTTTTTTTTGTTTTTGTTTTTTTTTGCTGCTTATCAACCTTTTGTAGTTTATTTAAATCCGAATGATTATAAGAATTGATTGATAAGTTTTGTCTCCGACCGCGTAGCGTCGCTAATATTAGAAAAAGAAACCTGTTTCAACACGTATTTGATCGTACTTCTTCCCGATTGTCTACTGGCCGTTTCTCTTTCCCTTTTCGTTAATTCATACAATTTTTCTCTCCGGTTCTATTTCTTTGTCTGTTTGGTTACTGTTTTTTGTTTCTAAACATTTTTTTTTAGTATTGTTCACCTAAAACAAGGCCCGATAGTCTCACAAGGTTGAGGGTTACTGAATATCTTTATTGAAAGGAAATAACGGTTGAACCAAGGCTTGAAAGAGGTAGCGAATCTAAGAGAGGATCTGTCTGGCTGAAACTTCATTTTTACCAATAGAATAACAAGAGATGTGGCCAAATATTTGGCCGACATACATTTCACCGAACAAGTACAAGTAAAAATAGGTAACAAGCATTACATTAATATTTTTAATTAACAGTATTAGAATGTAGAATAAAACTAATAATAACCACTGAAAATCCACTAAACTAATTGTTTCATTTTTTCAGGTTTTCAGATAAGACGTTTAGCCATCTTGACACCATTTTTCGTAAGAATCACTGTAAAACCCTTATTCAGTTAGAAAGAGAAGAGGTTAAAATCGTTTTGTGTCAGCCCCATCTGTCCTCTTAAATGAGCAATGATAAGAGGCAAAAGATCATTCAGACCTCCAGTAATGGCACCAACATTCATACTCTGGCTTCCATCTTCAAATTCCATTCAAGAACCATTAAAAGAACAGTGAGTTTTAAAAAGAGGGAACAGTAGAGAGGAAAACCTGAGGTCACAACAGGAAGAGTAATCATCATTTCAGTTTAGAGCTAGAGAGATCAATTAGAAAAAATCCAACTCAATCCATAAGACGTTTGGCATGTGAGAGAGGAGTTTCAGCTATGACAGTCCAAAGAGCAGTGAAGAAAGACTTGAAAATGAAATCGTACGTGGAACGTGAGAGGCACCTTGTTACTCCAGGACAGAAAGTTCGAAGGTTAGAGAGGGCGAAGATCATCTTGAATGTCTTGGAAAATGATCCTGAATAATATATATATATATATATATATATATATATATATATATATATATATATTTGAACTTTATTGAAATCCTTCATGAGCTTCCGATCATTAGCTATGATTAATTAACGAACATGTCATTTTCGTTTATAATCGATTTCATCACGATTCTTCTGTTAAGCTTGGAGAGTCATTCTGCATTCTTATTGCTCCAGCTGCTGGGGAGGGGGGGTGACTGCGTCATAGCGGTTGGCGCACGCAATCAAAAGAAAGTCCATATAAAACAGGTAACGCAGTAACAGGACAAAATGTAACGCAAAAACGTCCAAACTCCCAGGCCTTGAAAATATAACACAGATTCCACGAAAAACAAAGCTGTTCCAATCCAATGTGGTGTTGGACTGTATATTTATTTTGTGAAAGTTAAAAAATTGTGACACAAAGCCGAATGGGAAGTAGGGAAGGCTTGTCTTCACTGACTATCCTAGTCCTAGTTAGTCACAATCACGATACATTCATTCAATACAATATAATCCCCACAAGAACTTGTCCATCAACTCTCAATCCTACATGAACCACAATGCCGCAAATTCACAAAGGACCTACAAAACATCCCATAATGTAAAAATTTGTGCAGTCCATAATGTCAAATTTTTTCTTTTTTTTTTCCTTTTTTTTTTTCCTATAAAAATTTTCATGGTGCATGCAATGATGAACGAGGGGATGAATCCCAAAAGAAACTAAAAATTGAAACAAAATATTCAAAATGAAACATGTTAGTAAGGATCGTCCATCCCTCAAAATAATGAGATTGGCCACTGTATTCTGCCGATCAACAGAATCATGCAGCACACCCACTAATAAAGTGGGGAATTAAAAATTAAATAATGGAGCGGGGGAAGTCTGATCCAGCCGAGATAATGATTTTCTAAGCGTAGCTTCGATGTGGGATAAGGCCGAAAGTATGGGGCCTCTAGTGAGGATCGAACTCACTTTTCTAGCGAGACAATCTTGCTAACCTTTACACCACGATAAGATTCCCTAATCTGGCGTTAGAATGACTGCAAAGCACTTTCCAGCCCCCAATTTATAGACGGAAGCACACAAAGGCATGCTGGGATTTCTTCCAAGCCAATAAAATAGCTCGGTTTTGATTCAGTTCTGGTTTATCTTCTCTTAAAGTCAGGACCCTACGTTCGTTTATCTGAATCCGATCTTGTGTGGCAACCCCAAATCTTAGTCGGTAAACTTTTTGCCATATTACTTTTGTTTTTGTTTTTACAGTTAATTTGCCTTCCATATATTGTTTGCTTGCTTTATATTATTTTCCACACTCGTCATTCTTTTGAACAGGAGTAGAGGTTAATCCCTTGCTGCCTATTTAGAATTTGGTTTCTGATCCCTTCTAAAGTCTACTTCAACTCTATGCCTCTAACGACTCCGCTGAACCCTGAATTGTTTTTCACTAATTGTTTATTTATTTTCTCTTCCCCCCAAACGGAGAAGATAAGTTTACCTGTCACCCAGTTCAAACACCTCCCCGATCTTTTGAACAGGAGTAGAGGTTTATCCTTTATTCCTGTTTAGGATTGTGTCTCCAGTTCCTTCTCAAGTCTACTTTAACTCTATACTTCTAATTCTTCTAATTTCTTTCGAATTATTCTAGAAGCTAGTGAGTGGAAATAATTGTGAAGCACTCCCCACAAGATCTTCAATAAAAACGCAATAAAAATCAGCGACAGACGAACCTCAACTACAAAAGTGAATGTCCTCACTGACACAAAACAGCTGTTATAAAAACATGCTTTACAGGGGCAAAAAAAGTCTTATCTTAGGACCCATCAAACCATATACTAATTACCAATCTGTACTTATTTGTATATTTCCTGTCACATCTCTAATAAGAAGGGACATAAATCAACACAAGTTAGTAAATCTATCTATTTCAGTCTGTTCATATCTATCTCTTTCTCTGTTCTTATCTATCTATCTATCTGTTAATATCTATCTATTTCATTCTGTTCATATCTATTTCGCTGTTCATATCTATCTATCTATCTATCTATCTATCTATCTATCTATTTGTTTCAGTCTGTTAATATCTATCTATTTCATTCTGTTCATATCTATCTATTTCTCTCTTCATATCTATCTTATTCTGTTCATATCTGTCTATCTATTTCAGTCTGTTCATATCTATCCATTTCTCTGTTCATATCTATTTCTTTATATCTATCTATCTATCTATCTATCTATCTATTTCTGTTTGTTCATATCTATTTCTCTGTTCATATCTATCTATCTATCTATCTATTTCATTCTGTTAATATCTATCTATTTCTCTGTTCATATCTATCTATCTATCTATATATATATATATATATATATATATATATATATATATATATATATATATATATATTCTGTTCATATCTATCTATTTCTCTGTTCATACCTATCTATCTATCTCTGTTCATATCCATCTTCTGACACATCAAACCATATACTAATTATCAATGTGCATTTATTTATATATTTTCTGTCTATTTATTTAAGCATTTTCTGTCCAAATCTGTAGTGGAAATAGTTGTAAATGAACTTAATTTAGTAAATTCAAGAGTGTTCAGTCGTTTTAATAATCCATACAAATAAAACATTTATCTACATTTAGACAAAATTACTTCCAGGAAAAATGAACAGTTTAATTAGTTTCTTTACTCCTTCGCGTGGCTATATTGCAGTTTTATTTGTTCTAGCCTTTCATGTGAGGCACTCAGATACCTTTGTTTATGAAGTGGTCGTCTTGCTTTAATTCGGTATTGAAATAGGCTTTGTGGTATCCGCCTTTGTCATTCTATTGCTTAGCTTTTTCTTCTGAGAGATATTTCCATTTTATTGTTATATTAAAGACAAGTTTGTTTGGGGTTTTTTTTATATGAAAATATATTGAGCAAACAGCGATTTGTGTAATACCAGGAATAATTAATGAATCCCAAATACCGTTCAATGTCTAAAAAAAAATATGAAGAACAGATTAATTAAACGATAATTGGCGTCTACTTTTGTTAGGAATTCTTTATCCCCGTTTTTATTGAATCTCAATTCATTGTTTCAAGACTTTTGTCTCATGGCATCGCAGTATTAAGGCTTTCTAATAATCGCCGCCATTTTTGATGGCATGAGTACACGAGTATTAAGGGCCGGTAAGTACTACGCCCCACCACCATCACCAACAACTGAGGGGGCTGAGTGACAAACCTGATTGGGAGACCCGGGCAGTGCTTCATAAGCTTCGCTATCTTATCAACATTTGTTTTGTTTTTGTATTTTTTGTTTGTTTTTTTTTTTTTTGTTTTTTGTGGGTGGGGGGTCTACCTACATTTATATACGTTACAAATTAAACTAAACACATCTGACTAATAAAGGAGGAAAATATTTCATGGATTTTGACGTCATTCTGAGGTCTTTTTTATTTCGTCCTTTCCCGTGAAAAAAACAAAAAAAAAAAACACTATATCAATTTCATTTTTTTCTGTCCATAATGTCGAATGTATTAAAATTATTCAACTTTTTAACAACTTTTTCTTTTGTTCACCTATATTGTATATGCTCAATTACTGTACATAGGTTACACATATTTTCTGTTTATACGTTATTTTTATAGATACAATTTATTGAAGTAAATGCTCTGTTTTTTCAATTAAAGAATATTAATAACACTTACCGGCCTGAATGTTCGAGGAATTTATTCCTATGTTGGCATTGTTTACGTTAAGATACGTTTCGTGAGCAGCTATAATCGATCGAGAAAAAACAGTAATTCGGACTTTGCTAACCAGACGCTCCTCTGTAGCTGAATGGT